ATGCCGGTGTCGGCTTCCGCAGGACCCTTGCCCAAACCCTTTCTTCCGTAATTGCAGGAAGACTAAAGAAAGGTGTAAGAAAAGGTGGTCTAAAAATCATCGGACCCACTAAGATTTTATGCAGGATAGCAATTGCAAGTGAACTCAAACAGTCACTGAACTTAGCGGACATTGTAGAAGTGGAAATGGGAAAAAAACGAGAAAAGACAGACAATTTGCTGGAAGTTAACGAAATCCCAAATGAACAAATAATCCCGTGTCAGCGCCTTCCATTACGTTGCAAACGCGTCAGCACGCGTAAAGTGTAGGTGAGGTGGCGTGCGCTTACGGCTAGCCATCTGTTGCATGCCTGCCCACCCACTGGTCTTTTCGGATTGATTCTCTCTCTCCATAGGATCACGAGGACAGTGCTTGAATCGTGGTTCCTTTTAGCATAACTAAGATTGGTCAACTGGCGTCCTGGGACAAGATCGACACCAGGTACAGTCAAAGAGGATTAGTGATATCAATTGTAATTTATTCATAACTCCAATCCATGTACAGAAGATTCCCTGTCTCATGGAATGTCGGCCGAAATTCTGAAATGTTCTTTCGATTCGAACAAACAACTTAAACAGGTTTGTAGCATTGATTATCCTGCAACCTAATCTCAAGGTATTCCAGGCACGGCAGCACGCCGACTTTTGAGTGAGTTTCCTTTCGGCGGTCTGCAAAAAGAATATTGTACAAGAGGGAATACTTAAGTAGTTTGCATTTTCTCGTTAATTTTTGGTGACTTTATAAATTAAAATATATTTTATACAAAACTTGCACAAAAATAGTTCGTAAGAAATTATGTCTTCAAATTTTACACTTAGAGAAAGGTTACCTTTCGGGGTTTGCTAAGCCATGATGAAGTTACGTAGTGCTAATAAAATGTTGCAATGTACGTGGATCGTATTGTATGCTTCATAGGCAACTTGGTCTACCACAGAAGCACGCTGTTCCGCAACACAATAATTGAATACAAGATAACCCACCGGATCTACAAAGCCAGCCGGGGTCTTGGCCGGCTACAAGCGTCCGTGTGAAATCGCCACGACTTCCAACTGCGCACCAAACTGAAGGTGTTGAGGGCTGTCGTCCTCAAGACATTCATATACCGAGCAAAGACCCGGAGAGTTTACAGCAGCCAAGCTCAAAAGCTAAAACATTACAATCTCAGCCGCCTCCGCAGAATACTGAAGTTGAGATGGCAGGACAGAATCCCGAACACGAAAGTTCTGGAGCGAACGAAAATCCTCAACGTTTACGCCATGCTAAGGCAACTTAAACTGCGATGGAACGAGCAATTACCCAAACGACAGTTCTTCGGTGATGTTGCTGCGGGTGCTCGCCGCCAAGGAGGTCAAGAGACTTTAAAAGGACACCGTGAAGTGTCTTAAAATCGACACGAGGACCTGGGAGGCCCTCATCCAAGACCGCCCGGATTATAGAAGAGCAGTCAAAACTGGCGCAACCATCTATGAAGCCAGCCGGATCGTCACCATAAAGGCCAAAGTGACAGCACACAAGGCACAAGCGCAGCGGACCAACATCACCAGAACTGAGGCCATTCCAACCGCACGCAATGCAACAACCATCCGTCGTCATCAGGTTACACAGCGACGAATACCCCACAGTCACATCTGCAACCGCCCTCACCAAGGACGCTCAACCACCCGATGCCCCGCCACCTGTACCCGCAGACAATCCTTCCTGCAGCAACCCCAACATTGATCATAACGGCGACTACTACGGACGCCACACTCTCCGACGGGCCACCTGCTACCTCAACTACCGACTCCTTAATCAGAAACGAGATAGGCTGTGGGCGGTAGATAGAGGAGAGGCCGCTGCAAGAACGGTCATGGCCAGAGGACCAGACATTAGCTTTAGGGCTGACTTTAACACAGCATTGAAATTACATATGATTAGGCAAGTCACAGACATTGTTGAACCTGGACTTAAAGTATACTTTTGAGTATATAAAGATGTAAGCTAAGTCAGCGTATCAGCTTTTTCGCATACATTTCCTCTGCTACATGTGTAATGCAAGCCTGAGACTATGACGGTTCTATCATGTCCTGGAAGGTTGCCAACTGACGCTAATACCAGACCGCACCATCACTCCAGTGTGTGTTGTATGATAGTGGTTAATCAGTGGACTGGGGGTCAGACGGCGATGACTCCATCTGATCTCCTTATTGTGTAAATTC